ATCTCAATCAGATTCAGGTCAGGACTTTGAATAGGCCACTCCAAAGTCTTCATTTTGTTTTTCGTAAGCCATTCAGAGGTGGTCTTCCTGTTGTGTTTTGGATCCTTGTCCTGGTACAGAACCCGAGTGTGCTTCAGCTTGAGGTCACAGACAGATGGCCGAACATTCTCCTTCAAGATGTTTTGGTAGGCGCCAAAATTCATGGCTCCATTTACCACGGCAAGTCTTCCAGGTCCCGAGACAGCTAAACAGACCCAGACCATCACATTACCACCACCATATTTTACTGCTGGTATGATGTTCCTTTTCCAGGTGTAACAGCACTCAAACCTTCCAGAAAGTTCAGCTTTTGTCTCCTCAGTCCACAGAATATTTTCCTAAATGTTTCTGGGATCATCAAGATGTTTTTTTGGCAAATGTGAGACATTTTTGGTCAGCAGTGGTTTTCTCCTTCAATTCTTCTCTTGCTCAGTCTCTTTCTTATTGTTAAATCATGAACTCTGGCCTTAACAGAGACATGTGAAGCCTGCGGTGCTTTAATGTTGTTCTGGGTTCTTTCGTGACCTCCTGGATGAGTTGTTGATGTGCTCTTGGAGTAATTTTGGTAGGCTGGTCACTCCTGGGAAGTTTCACCACTATTCGAAGTTTTTCTCAATTTGTGGATAATGGCTCTCGCTGTGGTTCACTGGAGTTCCAAAGTCTTAGAAATGCTTTGTAACCTTTTCCAGACTGATGGCTGTCAGTGACTTTGTTTCTCAGGTGATCCTTTAGGTCATAGCACGATGTGTTGCTTTGTGAGCTCTTTTCGCCTGCTTCACTTTGTCAGACAGGTTCTATTTGAGTAATTTCTTTATTCATCAGGTCTGCCAGTAATCAGGCCTGAGCATGTTTAGTGAAACTGAATTCAGCTTTTCATAAAATGTGGCTACAGCTGCTTCATGTTTTAACAACAGGGGCAATTACTTTTTCACAAAGGGCGAGGTAAGTCTGGATAACATTTAACCTTTAATCGAAGAAATCAGCATTTAAAAACTGCATTTTGAATTTACTTGGGTTATCTTTGTCTAATATCTAAAATTTGTGTGGTGATCTGAAACGTGGTGTGTTTGTATGACAAATATGAAAAACTAGGAAATCAAGTAAAGGGGCAAACACTTTTTTACACCACGCTATATGTACCTCAGTAGCAGAGAGGGCACTCTGCATTTTAACATTTTTCCCTATTTTTGATCTCGCATAATGTAGATTTCCACAACTTTTTTTCACTGACTTTGGTCAACCTATCAAGACTGAGAAGCAACAGCTCCTTTTTTATTGGGGGTAAAATCATGAAACGTTGAGTTTTGGTGATGGTCTTAACTATTTTTACATTGAACACCCGAGAATTAGATGTTAGTATGCAGATACAAATCAGATAATACCAACATAACTGTGGTTTTATCTCAGGTTAATAGTGCAGTGAAAATTAACACTATACACCATTCACTTTAGCAACCAAGTCAATATCTTTTTACCTTTCCTGTACTGAAAACCATTTTTTTATTTGTTTGTGCTGGTCATTCATTATTGGAGAATCCATAATGTTTTTAATATCTACTTTCTGGGGGGAGGAACTTAGACTAATAATGTCACAGATTTTGTCTGGGGCATTCCTTATGCTGCCTTTTTTTGTTTTCTTTGAAGTACACTTTTAAAACTCACGTTGCCTCATTTAATTAAAATTTTGAATGAAAGATTTGTAATTGTATCATTGTATGGGTACTTTAACTTTATGTAAAATGGCTGCCCTGAGGGATTACTGTCAGACAAGAAAATAGATGAAAGAAAAATAGGGACCAAATAAACGTCTGACACTTCCCCACTCAAAACAGGCAGAAGAAAAATGGAATCCATTTTGATTGAAGCTCAAGTTTATTGTTAACCAGTCAAGCGGACACTATTTCAGAAACGTAGGTGGACACAATACACCTCAGCTTTCCATGCACAAAACAAACATGCACACCCCTTCCTCTCGGTACACGTGAGTCTTTATTCAGGCCTCCTCCCTGTAGATGTCCGTGCTCATGGACCATGGGGACAAGACCTGAGCGCTCCTAAATGTTGTTTTTCTCCACATTACTGTCAAGGTACCCACTAGTGACTGATGATGGATTGCACTTCAGCTAGCGCTCAGGGTTTTCCCCGAGCCTGCGACTTACTGCAACTCTGAGCACACGTCACCCTCACTGCTACGCTAACCATGGCGAGCACTGCTCAGGGAATATCACAAAGGACCTTTCTGCTCCTTTCTCCTCGAGTTCGCCGGGCAGCTGTTTTACAGGAAATGCACAGGGGGGATGAGGCATGTGCCCTTGTTTAAAGGATGTTTTGGTTATATAAGAGATTTTCCCTTTTCTTTTTTCTTTATTTGCTGCATCTTCATTTGTCTCTCTGTGTGAGTGGAACTGCACTTACTGCAATTTGGTCTAGTGCCACTCAGGGAGGCTGCGGAGCTAACTGTGATTCACTGCACCACACAAACCTACAATTTTAATGTGATAAGTAGAATTCCAGACCTTTTTTGGAGTCAGAGATAAGCCTTTTGGGTTTGGGTAAAAGCCCAGGCAATGCTCAATTGAAGAAGGAACTGATTGCTGTTTCATTCAGAGGTGATGAAAACCACTTTACTCTCCGTGAACAAAATCAGGTGAAGGAGACAAACTTGTATCTCTATTTCCATTAAGTCCAAACCTCTTGAAAGATCTGTGTTTACTCTTCCTATCACCTAGTGTTATGAGGTTTTTTTTGGTTATTTTTACATTTCAGCCACTCATTATCTGATCTAATGGTGTGTCATTAATCATTGTGGCTCATGAGTGAATAGCAGGATGCTGTGTGTTGAGAGATAATTAGCACTGAGGGCAAGAATGGAAAATCCCACTTTGGACCGTTTTATGCCAGTGTATTATTTTGCATTCACTATGATGTTTACATCCCACGTTTCCCTGTACACTTGACTGGCCTTGTAGACGTGCCCCTGCTCTAAGATCCTGGGGTGAAGCAAACTCAATTAAGTGCAAAAGTGGAGAAAAAAAGGTTCTGCTGAAAACACATTCAACGTTCAAACCGTCAAAATAAAGCCCCAGAATTTTGCGAATCCTATGAAAAAAATGGCTGATTAAGGTTGTGGATAATGACATTAATACTGTTATCAAATTATATCCTGTAAATTTTAATACACTGTTCATTTAATTGCATTCCCCTATCAAATATGGAAGGCTCAGTAATTAGATTATATTACCGAGTGTGAATAATGTCGAAGATTATGCTGCAGATTACAGTTTCAATCAGGTAATCAGTGATCTGTAACAGACTACATTTTGAAAAACAGCATCCCCGGCCTTGGCTATAGCTACCGCCTCTCCTTTACTCCATCAGGAATTATGCAAATTTCAGGCAATTAAGGGGCTCCATGTCATTCTGTCTCTGCTCCTCCAGATTCTTGTTGTTTTTCAAGCCCCGTCGTGACTTTTGTCAAGCATCTGTATGAGCGTGTCAGGAGCAGAGACGCTTAAAATGGGGAAATTATTCATAACCTTTTCAGTGCTTCCACACACAAGTGCTTACACCCATTTTGTTCATCCAAAAAACCCTCCACACGTGTCACCGTGCACACAGTCTGGCAAAACATTTGCAAAACATCACCCACACATATTAAACTTTTGCAGATTCAAGTTCGGGGTTGCAGCAAGGTCGTTTAGCTCCTGACTTCGCTTACTGAAACGTGGCTAAATTATTTACCACTGTGTACTCTGTGTTGGGGGGATGAGGTAAAGCCTGTCAGTTACTCAAATAAGTTATTAATTTTACTTTCTGAAAGTTTGAGGTGTATTTTATCATCCAGATAAACAATTTTCTGTGAAGTTCAACTGGTTTTTGTTTCAAAAGTTGTCCCAGTCTTTTTGCAAAATTGATCTTCTGGCAGCTATTACCGGTCTCTCCACAATTGTTTTCATTTTTCATCTGCTGGTGAAGTGTATTGAATTTGCAGTTTAGTTTGTTTTCTACAGTTTGCTTAAATATCACCTTTTTCTCTCTCTCTGCGCCGATTCACTTGCTACATTCATATTATAATACCTGGGTTTTTTTTCTAATTAAAAAAAAACATCTTTTCAGCTTTGTCATTTGTAGATCCTCAGTGAACATCAACTACATCGCTTGAAATCATTGTGCATGTGTTTTTACATTTTAATAAATGTCCTTGTTTGTGTTTTTAAATATGCAAGGTTATATTCATGTCATATGTATCACCTTTTCTTTATTCCAGGTGTTTGTCCTTGCTCTCACTTTGGTGCCCTAACCTCACTCTTCTTGTCTTTATTCATCCAAAGTATTTTTCTTTTCTATTTTTTTTTCCATCCTTGACACACTTTTCTGTCCTTGTCAAATATCTGTGAACTCTCCTGAGCTTTTGTGTCTCCTGCTCAGACCCTCCAACAGTGGAGCCTGTTTTCATGGAGATGCGTCAGGGTCTTGGAAGGCCCGTAGTGATGACCTGCAGAGTGCTGCGAGCCCACCCCTCCCGTGTGTTGCGCTTCGAGTGGCTTCTCTCTAACCGGCTGCTCCACGCGGGAGCTTTTGACGCCCAGCGAGATGAGACAGAGTACACCATCCGCAGCCTAAATCGTGATGGCTGGGGCGAGTACACCTGTAATGTCATCAATGAGGCTGGAGCAGGCAAATGCACTTTCCAGGTTACAGGTAAAAAAAAAAAGTGCTTTCCATTTCATTTCATATTTCCTTTTTTATTCTTCTAGAATCTTTTTCCGCTTGGTTTAGTTACTTTTCCTCTTTATGTTAGCTTTTCTACATTTGTTTGACACATGGTGAACGAACAATGATTTGTCACTGTGTCTAATATTGTTAGTATAGTTCCAGTACAAAATGTATACTGCATGCTTATCTGTGTAATGCATACTTTTACAGGGTAGCATTTTCTGAAATAGAAATTTGCAACATTTGGCTCTGATGAATTAAACAGAAACTCATATTAACTACTTCCATTCGCAGTCCAACCAGAACCAGATAGATGTAAAACACAAATTCAGAAATTCCTTTAAAAAAAGTGCCATAGTTGCTGCTTCTTTATGTAACTAGAATAGAAGTAGTTGGTAAGCAGTTGGAGAGCAATTTAGAGACAGGTTCCTTCACACCAGGCGACCTGTGCAAAGATGTTGTTATTAAAAACTCAATGCAATCGGTGGGCAATGTCCACCAGTTGCATGGAGATTGCCATACTATTTTTAGTTTCGTGTGACCGAGCCATAACGTGGCATTACAATTAGTTTAGAAGCCGTGGATAAAAATTCTTGGTGGTCTTTTCCTTCCATTGTAGTCAAAGTGGAAACTTTTGAGTGTGGGTTTTTAACAGGTAATTTTGTCAGTGTTTTTTTTTTTTACCTTTTCCCAGCATGTAGTCACACTTAAATAGTAAGCAGGAGTATGCAATGTGAGAAACAGCACAAGTCATTTTCAAAATGAAGGCCCCTCACTTCACACAGAGGTAGACTTTTATTTCAGCTGAATAACTGCTATTGCCAGCAGATTGCATCAACTGTAGCTGGATAGCCACAGCTACTTTAGCTTCCTGACATGTACGAAAATGCTAGATGTCATTTTAATATTCCAGGCAAATATGGGCTATATATGCTAAACGGCTGAAGATTAATTCTTTTTGTTGGGATTTCAAGGAGTATGTTTCAATTTTAACATTACAAGGGGAAAAAAGGGGTTTTAGTTTTAGGATGCATATAAATGTGATCAAATCTCAGAGGAATACTGGTTAGAATTAGATACAAATCCAAGAGTTTCAGAAAACCTAAGTAAACAAAAAACTAACCTTTTATTAAGTTGTGTGTAGAAGTTGAAGGTATTTTTTTAAGATCCAGAAGGAACCAAACTGCAAAGCTAAAACCTCCAGGAATTAACAGGCTAGACACTAAGGAGGAGCATAGCGATGGTACACAGATACAGTGACAAAGACAAAAGAGAGCCAGGGCTGTATATTCTCACAAAGAGACACCAAGGGCCAATCAAGGGAAGTGAATACAGCTGTGTAAACCCAGACACAGGTGTACACAATCAAGACAATCAACAGATAGAAAGTATAATTCAAAAGAAGGCACAAGAGAGCAAGTAACAAAAAAATAAATAAACAGAAAATTCAGTCCACATGATACACAGAACATTGCAGATGCTAGAAGAGTAAACCAATATACAAAGAAAAACACAAGTAATGAAAGGTAAATAACAATCTCTATAAATACTAACCAATAACTATCATTTTAAAAACAAAAGAAAAAACCCTCAAAATACTGGAGTAATTTATGTTAACAAACAGGAATCAAAGCACAACCTTACATTAGTCAAAAACAAGGAGCAATAATGAAGCCCAATCCATAACAGCAAATCATAAACAAACTGAAATCCTACACTACTGCAGTTTAAATGATGTTGCTGAGCTAAAGATTTCCCTCATCTGAAGCAAGAGGATGTAGCTGACATTAAGCTACTCTTTCCACACCTGCTTTCTTTGCCAGAAGTATTCACTCGTCTGCCTTTACATGCATATGAATCTACCCTTTGTAGATATAACACCTTCATCTATCTGGAAAGGCTTTCCACAAGCTTTAGGGGTGTGTTTGTGAGAATTTTTTAACCATTATTCTAGAAGTGCATTTGTGAGGTCAGACACTGATGCTGGATCAGAAGGTAAGGCTCACAGTCTCCACTCTAATTTGTCCCAAAAGTTGTTAATCAGTTTGAGCTCAATACTCTGTGCAGGGCAGTCAAGTTCTTCCACACCAGTGAAGTTCTTCCACACTTATCCATGTCTTTAAGAACCTTTCTTTGTGTACTCATGTTGGAACAGTAAGGGGTGCGCAAGGAAATTTCACAACTGTATTTGTTGTGCATGTGGCATCCCATCGAAACTACGCTAGAATTCGCTGAGCGACCTGAGAGCGACCCACTTTTTCACAAATATTTTTAGAACCAGTTTGCTAGCCATTTGATTTTATACACCAGTAGCCATGCAGGAACAACTGAATTCAATTATTTAAATAGGTGAATGAATACTTTTGGAAATACAGTATAGTATCACATGCTAGTTAGCCAGTAAAGTTGGCTAATAGCAGCAGTGTTAAAGTTTGTCTTTCTCGTGGCTAAAAAGAACAAGATTATTGCCCAGCTCTGTATCCCAGAAATATTTTCTTACTAGGAGCCCTCCTGCTTACTGTTTCAACATGTAGAGAAATTTCAAGCTACACAGACCTCAAATGACCAGCGCTATAGTTGCTAAACTAGGAGTAGCTAAGCTAGGAGCGATTTTGTGTTTGTTTGTTTTTTCTTTTTTCTTTTGTTTCTTTTTTAATGGTCATTTATTTTAAGTTACTTACTTCCACTCTTTCTCTCTCACAGAAACATAACTCCATACTGGTATTAGTGCTATAAAGCCTGGCTGTCACTGTGTTTGATCCAGATAGCTGCATTTAATAACAGTCATTTTGCCTTTATTCTTTTACCATACGTTGGCATGTCAACAGAAGATTTTTTTTAGTACGCTATTCAATTGATAATTAAAGGGTTGTTTTGACAGATGCAATTGGCTGAACAAAAAGCTTAGAAGGCCTTGTCTCATATTGTTTTGGGGTGTGTGTCTGCCTCTTTATATGATAGACAATTTATATAAAGAAGACTAAAGGGAAAGATAAATCATAGATTGCTGATCTGAATTAGGCATGTCCATTAAGTCAAGTCTTTCTTTTACCGTCTTTCATCTGTTTTTGTTACATTTTTTTCCCTCCATTGTGAGATCCATATGATCGTCTCCCAGTCTTTTGTTATGACAGGACAAAATTAGTTTGGTTACACTGAGAGTCCTCAGGAACTTTGGCCAAGGTTTCAATCTCCCAGACCTCCTATTAGAGACAGGAGCTGCAGGGTCACAGGAGGAGTATTTGTCACTTTGATCCTCTGGCACTTAGGTCGCTCTTCTCTTTGATAGTGTCTATTTCTCTCTATCTCTTTCTGCGTTCTAATCATACCTTGGCTGCACTTGATTTTTTTTATAGCCTTTAGTTCTCTCTGTGTCCATTTTCTTTTCCACATTCTTCATCTTTCTCATTTTCAAACCCCACTCTCTCATCCTCCTTTCCAGCTTGACACCCCCCCCCCCCCCCCCCCCCCCCCCCCCCCCCCCCCCCCCCCCCCCCCCCCCCCCCCCACACACACACACACACACACACACACACACACACAGTGCGTGCCATAAATCCCCTTCCTGGGGAAACAGGTAGAACAGAGAGACAGAAGCAGCTAGTTCCCTCCAGCCATTTGTTTTTCTCAGCAGGGCTGGGGTTTTGCCTTCTATTGCTCATGCTCCCTCCCTCTTCCTACTTCCACTCCCTTTCATCCTCTATCCCTCCTTCCCTCCCTCGCCCTCTATTGCTCCATTCCTCCCGCCCAGTGCTCCAGATTCCCACCATCTGGACTCAGTGGTTGCCAAAGGTATGGAGGCTCTTTTAGTAACTCCCTGAGTACAGGAGTATGGTGCAGAAAATCCACTTTGGTTCATTGCATCATCTATGAAACCTGCCATGCCTCAGTCTCCTAATTCCAGCTCTCGATAGTTAAAATTTTTAATTTTATTCTAAAACTAAAATGCCATGAAATCAGGCAATACCCTGCAGTAGAAGAAGTGCATATCATCTCCTGTCTGCGACTTGTAAGACTGTTTCTCGACAAGACTTGCAAAATATTGGTGTAGCTCATGTAATTAGATGGCACCTCGGTTTAAACTCACTTTACCAAGACAGGTAGACAAGCCAGTAGACGTTCTCCCATCGCTCTATGTCTGACGTCTTCTCAGGCTGTGCTAGCATGTGAAAAGTATGAGTTGGGAGTTTTGGCCCACAGTCCTTGGATTTCGGATTCAGTCAACATGTGAGCAGCATACATGTTACCATGCCGACAGACACATGCAAACACACCATAGTTAGGCAGCAGGCCATTATTAGCCCATAAATTCTGTCGCCTGGAAAAGTGTATTGTGCCAAAGGAGAGTGTGTGTGCATATGCATGGATGCCCATGTGCCAAGCCATGGGGACATCTGTGGGAACAGTGAGTTGGCTCTAATGGCCAAGTTGGCCATTAAATTGTGCCTGGCCAAGTTGGCCATTAAATTGTGCCTGGGGAGAGACCCCTCAGAGGAATGTAATGTGTACCACTGAGCTTTGGCTCGGGCTCTCTGTCGTGGGAACCCTGAGTTGTTAGCAAATGCTCAAATCACGCTCCTCAGAATAGATAGCAAGTTCACTGATCATAGAGTTTCGAGTAAAGATGCACATGGCTCCTGTGACATTACTGTTGGTGTGGAAAGTCCTGCTGTAAATTCTCAAGCAGAGAATTTCTCCGCCATAAGCATTGCATCAACTCGACTTGACAAGCCAGATCTGATACTCAGATCAAGGGATGCTGCATACTTATAGACCTTCTGTTTTTTTTTTTTTT